GAGAAATATTTGGGCACTTTATGCATAGAATCTGGCCAAGACATTCATTTAAAACTCCACCAACGTCACAAACACTCATACCGTCTGTTTACCTGATAATGACACATGACATTTTCCAGCAAAATCCAGAAGTTTTATTGTTCTGTTCATCCACATAGTCCTCAAAGGGATCTGATGTAAGAGAGGGGTCATTGTTGAGATCTCCAAGAGAGTTTGGCATGACGCAGTTATGCAGTGAGCCTTACCCGGGACCCGACTGCACGATACAGACGGTCAATTTGGTCACAAGTCTGTTCCTCCCACACAATCCAGCTCATGGACATCTTGATTTTTGGGGCTGTTGGAGGAAATCATGTTGAAAGTTAGAAGACCAGTTTTTCATTCAGACAACTAGATGTATCCAGCTCAGGGTTACGCACCAAATGTTGCACCAGTTTGTCCTTGTTCCCTTTGATTTTCCATCCTCTCAGACAGTGACATCAATGTGTTAATCAGCTGCAAAAGCACGCACAAGCAATCATGTTACAGTCCTGCTGGTAAAAGAATAACCATGTTCTTCAACAGTTCTGACATTGTGGGAATGTTAGTAAAAAAATGTAATTCATTTGCAAATCTCAAAACAGCGACACATGGAAACGTTTCAGGACCTCGAGGACTGGAGGTCGAGACCCCTGATCTAATCAGTTTAACTGACAACAGATAATTACAATGAATGGGTTTAAAAGGAGTATCTGAAGGAGGTCGTGTTTCTCTGAAGTAAAGCTGGGGCAGAGGTTCAATAATCTTTACCAAGGTTTGCTTGTTATCAGTTCAAAGCCCTGCATCTCTGATGTTGTGGGGGTGCATTAGTGCCTATGCAGCTGGCAGCTTGCACATCTGGAAATGCTCTAACAATGCTGAAAGGTGCATATATTTGAAACAGAAGACTCCTGTTGCTGAACTGGCCTGCCTGCAGTCCAGACCTTCACCAGCTGAGAACGTTTGGTATTGAGATGTTGCTGCCATAAAATTCAAAATGAGCTCATATTGTCCTTAAAATGGGAAATTTTCTCAATGTAAACATTTAATAGATTTTCACGTTCTATTGTAAATAGATTGGGTTTATGAGACTTTCAGATCATCCCAACTTTTATGGACTTGAAGTTGTACGTTGCATGTTCTATCAACTCACGAGATGTGCTCCCATTGTGGCTAGAGTGCCTCCCAGCTCATCAGCAGTGCAATTCTCAGGGACCTGATAGAGTTGCTGGTTGAGAATAGGCCCCACATCGAACCTGCAGGGTGATATTGAGCTCTGTTACGGTTGTTATCAGGAAAAAGAAAAGACATTTATCTGCAGTTTACCTGTGAGGTCGGATCTGGATGATGGAGACTCCTGTCACACTGTCACCATGTAAGATGGTGTGGAAGATAGGAGCTGGACCTCGCCATCTCGGCAGCAGGCTAGGGTGAACATTCAAAATCCCACTGAAAGAGAATGCAGTGTCTGTTTGTGTGGACAAAATATATACAGGTTCTGATTTCATGCCTGGTGTAGAACAGCTTCAGTCAAGCCCATAATTATTCATACCTCTGCACATTTTGACTTAAAGTTGCTTTTATTTAACCAGCGAGTTGGCTTTTTTTGACCGGACATGACATGGGCGTCTCCCAAAGATAAGACGTTGCACAAGAGGATTTGAGCAAAAAGTGTTACGTTCAAAGTTATTCATACCATTCTCAATAATCAATAGAAAAGCCTTTATTGGCTATTACATCAATCAAAAGCTTCCTATAATTGCAGAACAGCTTTTTTTGCACGTCTCCACAGGTATTTTCATCCATTCATCTTTAGCAATGAGCTCCAACTCTTTCAGGTTGGAGGGCCTAAGACCCTTTAGCTCCCTCCACAGATTCTTAATTCAAGTCAGGACTCTGGCTAGGCCGCTGCAAAATGTTAATGTTTTTGTCTGCCAACCATTTCTTCACCACTTTTGCTGTGTTTTGGGTCGTTGTCGTGCTGAAATGTTCGCCGGTGCCCAAGGCCAAGTTTCTCTGCAGACTGCCTGATTCATTCAGAGTTGTGTTGCTCTTTTTTTCATGGTGCCGTTCACTGTGATTACACTCCCTGGTCCATTGGCTGAAAAACATCCCCAAAGCATTAGGTTCCCACCACCATGTTTGACAGTAGGGGATGTTCTCAAGGTTGAAGGCTTCTCCCTTCACCTAATGAAGGAAACATCATTGTGATCAAACAATTCAATTTTTGATTCATTTAACACAGAAGACCAGAAATCTTCTTCCTTATCCAGATGAGCATTGGCGTCCTCCTCAGTCTGCATCCGTGGAACCCAACAGTGTGCAGTATCCGTTGGACTGTCTGCCACCAACAGAGCCCAGATTCCCCAGCATGGCCTTAGTGGTGGACCTTGGATTCTTTTTCACCTCTTTCACTATCTTATCTGGCCAGCACAGGTGTGGCCATCTTGTATTTTTTAATAACACTTTATGCTGTAGCCACTAGAGCTTGAGAATATTTAGATAAGGCCTTGTATCCCTTTCCTTGTGAGCAGCCACAAAGCACAGCCGGAGGTCCTCACTGAGCTTCTTTGTCTTAGCCATGACTGTCCACAAGCAACTGCAGAGAGCTGCTGTTTTTCAGTGGTACGGCTTACGGCCATACCACCGAGCACACCCGATCTCATCTGATCTCGGGAGCTAGACAGGGTTGAGCTTGGTTAGTACTTGGATGGGAGACCGCCTGGGAATACCAGGTGCTGTAAGCTTTCACCCCAACCGGTCGCAGCAGATAGCCGCCCCTCCCTGAGCCTGGTTTTTCCCTAGTTAACTTCCTGTTAAAAGGGAGTTTTTACTTCCCACTGTAGCCAAAGTGGTTTCTCATAGGGGGTCATATGATTGTTGGGGTTTTTTTTCCTCTGTATTATTGTAGGGTCTACCTTACAATATAAAGCGCCTTGAGGCGACTGTTGTTGTGATTTGGCGCTGTGTAAATAAAATTGAATTGAATTTCGCCTGTTGTTTTGGTTAAAAAAAGCTGTTCCCAATTAATCAGGGTCATTAGGATGCTTTAGAACAGCTTGGACTATTTGAAATGGTGATATAAATTTTTGGATTTTCCCAGAGACTGACAGTTTGTGAAGGGTATGAATCATTTTGGACATGACACTTTTTGATCAAATCTAAATAAAAGCGGAGAAATATTTTTTTCCCCACAATGATACCTCTTGTACATCGTCTTATTATCTTTTGGGAGACGCCTGTGTCA